AAAAAAAACTGAGAACATACTGAGAATGTTTGAAGTGTGTACACATCTATGTAAAAAAAGTTGGCATATTATACACACAGTAAAAGTCCAGAAATATCAAAACGTTCGAAGTAGTCTATCCTGGGAGTGAAATGCCAGATGATTGGATTTACCGTGGAATCTATCACCATGAATTATAACGTGCATACACAAATGCAGCCATGCACACCGTTGTATGATACATGTTTATAATTACAGGCAAAAGGCAGAACCATTTTTCCTAGCTTTTTTTCCTTGGGATGAGCATGTAAGTAAAATCTCATTCTATATCACAATTTATTAATGTCTTATATTACTCTCTTTTCAAAACCTTCTTGTATTAAACCTGAGAGGATTCCTCAGTTGAACTTGATAAGAAGCACTTTAAAGGACAAAGTGTTCTTAGTGAGGTCAAGTGGCCATCTTCACCTCTACCCTAGTGCATGTTCTAAAGTCACTGATGAGATTCTTTTTGAGGCCAGACCTCTCTGTGCTCACGTGTAGTGGTCTCAACTCCTGGGTCTCAATACTCCTATCAGCCTCCAAGAGCATGGAAGTTACAGAACATGTCCTGACTGCTTGGCTCTTTTAAATATGACATGCTCCCTTGACACCAGATCTTCTGGCTTTGGTATGCACTCCAGGGTGATGTCTTAAGCGCGCTTTCTGTTAAACTGAGTGACGCTACCCCCACATCTTCAAGAACATTATAGCCACTGACTTCCTTGTATTGATTTTCTGGGCACGAGGCCATTTTCAAAAAGCAGCTCCATGCTAATTTAGAAGGAGGCCTTATGAGCCAGTCATCAATTAGGTCTTCAGACACTACCTCAAGGGTTATTCTTTCTTACACCAGCGCACTCTGGCCATCATTGAGCGTTAAGTCACCAAAACTAGCACACCAACAGGATGACTAGCAGCATGGTGGTTGGTTTTCTTGGGGTAATGTCTTGACATTGCTCACTTGCTGCGTGAGTCACAGAAAATTGTTTATCATACATTGAAGCATATGTGAAACAGAAGTAAAAACAGCGACTTGCAAATTATTTCTCGCTTACTGATCCTAAAGCTATGACTGGTTGAACCGCTGTTCACGTTTTACCTGCTTTACATCACAGAATTATTCTAGAGCACCAGGTTATCATGATCCTCCTAATCTTAGGGATCTTGGTAGGAGTGGTTTCACTCTTTGGGAAAAACAATTCCCTACTTTCAAGTCCCTTCTACAGGACTGATTTGAGGTGTTCAACCCCGCTGGCTAAAACCAGCTTCCCTGCAACTCCCACCGTTTGGTTCCAGTTAATAGCCATTTAATTCCTTAACAGTAACCATCGTTCAGCAGACGCCACTGAACACTTGTGCAACAAGACCAGATACCAAATGTTTCACTCCACCAATTAAGTTATGTAACAACCTTTATCATGGCCACCCACTTAAAATTGAAGTGTCCAAATCAATTTTGGACAGGTTAATTTCAACATTAACAGTTCGCAGAAACCATTCGGCTCCCCTTAATTACTATACTACATGCTTGGCTACTACACTTTTAATACGTTACCGTGCCTGCCACATCCTTTTAACACAACTGCTGTGCTAAGGAGAGAAAAAAAAATTTAGGGCCCAGTTTTCATTATAAAAAACAAAACTTTGAACAAAAATGACTCTAATGAAGTTAATGTATATACTAAAATCTGACCAAATGACTTTCACACACTCAGGTGTATTTATAACGAGCTAGTATTAAGCAATTCTTCTGTAGACCCCACATTCCCATCACTCCACCTTTTTAATACCTTCTGCTATTGCAGAAACTTTCCCATTCTCAAGCTTACCCGAACACACCCCAACCATTTAAAATTCGATAGCTTACAGTATATATCCCTATGAAAAAAGCTTTCACCTCTTGAAGCTGGTTTTTATTTGGCACCACTGCTACAGTTCTATATAAAAGCCACTCTTCCCAACATCTCTCCTCAAATAGTCACCATGAATATTTAGAAAACCCAAAAACTCTGAATCCCTCCCCCACCACGCCCCAATGTATTCAAAAGAACCTAAACTTTTAGAAAAACAAAATCACACACTATTGGGAATGCAACATACTTTATTGAAAAGAACAGTGCATGAAATGTTTGAAAGCTTAAATCTTATGACCACCTCCCCCTCCAAACGCGCAGACCAAGTGCAGGGGGACTCTTTCTGGAGTTGTAGTCAGAGAGGGTGGCGTCATCTTCCAGCTGCTCCCAGCAAGATCAGCCTCCCTGCTGATCAGGAGGTGATGCCTTCGCTCGCCTTGTCGATCTGCCTGACATTCACAATGGTGTGTGGCCTCCA